TCGGTCTTGACTTGATTTTCTCTGCATGTGATTTAGATTATGAATATGAATGTGAAGTGGTGATTCTCTGACATGAAACTCTCTTAAGTTTCACGGAAATGAGTTGTGCAGATACTAAGAATCCACACTGGATGGAAATGCTAGGTTTTATGACATGAAGCCAAATTCAGATATAAAACCAAACATAAGACCTTTTCCCGATATAATGCATTAGCTGTTACTATGGGAATGGAAGAGAAGAAACTTGAGTAGCTCTGCCCTTGTTAATTTCCTTTTGGAGTTACTGTTAATTTGGCTACATTACATACTGCACACAAGGATCATAATATTTGGATAGGGCTTTTCATCACCAAAACTCAAGAAAATGAAAGCGTATCTAATGCTTACTAGTATCCTCACCTCATTTGGGAAAGCAGGACACGGGTTCAGTTACTGTGCGCAGATCCCTAAAAGCAGGGGTTCTAGTAAGATCTCTGGTTATATAATTCAGCAGATTTACTGTAGTTCTCATGGGGACTTTCTTGTTTAAATTGGAGCCAGATAAATAAAGAAATAAAGTTTTCAGAGTTCTGTCAAGATGTAAAATAGTTTCCCTATTGCAGTTGGTGTACTTTTCCCTCATTTTTTAGAGATTCTTGGATGACACAGACTATTCAATTAGAAACATCAAGCTAATAAGACAGAGTTTTGACCCAAATCATATAAATACCCTACAGGAGTTTTCTGATGCCCAGAGTTGGATTTGGGCTGCCCTTCTAAATCAATAACTCTTAGCACTGCTCAGCATAAATTCAAAGCATGCTCAAGATACGTTCTTGGAGAAGTTTCTCCAAATTCAAGGCTAACCTCACACAAAGGAAACCTTTGTCTATGGCATTTCAGAAACAAAACTGCTGACAGACTGAAAAAGGTGATACTCTTAAGATGACAAATAACATGACGGTTACAATTACATTACATTTTTAAAAGCATCCCTCTAAAATTTTCAGTCGATGGTCTTCAAATCCACTGGAACCCTCAAAATTAGATGGCATTCTGAATGCAATGGAGAGTTTAATTAGATCACTTCTAAAGGAAACAACACAGTTCTAGTTTGAATGCACACAAGGGATCTAAAGCAGCAGAGTGCCAAAGGCCCCTGCACCCCTTCCAACCCCCAGGTGTCCGTGCGTACCTGGGTCAGACGGCCTGAGCTCGCTCTTCTCAAACCACCTGTGCAGGTTCCCTGGGCAAGATGTTTCACTATTAAAACATTGTTTCTCCCTTCCTCCCTTGCCCTTTCCCCCTTCCCATTTTTCCTTTCTTAAGTGCATATTTATTTATTGCAAACCACCTAAATACCAAGTGTGGTCCAAGGTTCTTGGGATACAGTTGTGGTCCAGGTGGGGCTCTTGAACGGTGTGTCCTGCTCTCTCTCCTCCCTTGACCTCTTTTTCACAAATACCAGGGAGGCAGAGCTTGGCATCCCTCACACTACATATATGTGAATATGTCCATCAGGATTGTTTCTCATAGTAGTAGCTGAGTCAAGATAGGATCTCCACGTGACTGCATGGGACAGGGTATGTGCACATATGTGCATGTGCATGTATGTGTATGTGAGTGTGTACATGTATGTGGAGTGTCCAATTCATAGCTCCATTGAGGACTTCCATGTGTCATTTGGGGATCCTCTTTCTCATTCACAAGTGCCTCAAACAGTGTCTGGCACAGAGCAGTCACCCCAAAATAGTTGCTGAGTGCCTAGGAAGTCCGCAGCCCTCCCAAATGACCTGTTTCTGTTCTAGTGATTTTTGCATTCTAAGGGCCTCAACAGACATACATGCAGATGAATCCGTTTCTTTTCCCCCTCTCCTTATTCAAGAGCTACACTCTGATTTTTGCTTACCTTACCTCCTAAATCAGCAGCATCATAAAATATTCACTGATGGAAACTGTTTCTTCCCAAAGGCATTTGCATCTGAACAGGGAGGAGGATTTTAAGGATAAAGCTTTCCCCAAACGATGATCATAAGGTCCTATAGGATATGACCCTGTGTCCTTAACTCCTGGGAGCTTCCTGAAAGTCTCCCTTCAGTTTCTAGGCTCCACAGCACACTGTTCAATGCAACACATAAGCCCACGTGCAACTCCCGATCTCACAGCTAGTGGGGTTTCTACTGCGAATGTTTGTATTCCTGATCCTGGAGGTCTGATTACGACGACAGGTTTAGCGTCTCTGTAACTCTGATTATTCTTTACTTCATCCTCTGTAATCAAGCTCAGATTGCTCCAGACGAGGGCAGACCAAGCAGGTGAGGAATGTGAGTGTGCCAGGGAAAACTCTGCTTCCCGGTCTTTTGGGCTCCTTTTAACAACTATCTGGAAACAACTAATTTCTCTTTTGGTACCTCAGACCAGCAGGCTGCTCCTCTCCTGTGGCCAGATGCTGCACTCTACACCATTGTTAAATACTAATAGTGAAACTTAAAAGATGTTCTCTTTCGAGACAACAGGTGGCCACTGCAACCTCCAGCTCTGATTGGTGGAAAGGCCACAGGCGGCCCAGTGGCCTAGAGAAAGGGCCTCCACTTCTGTGTTTCAAGAACCTGCTCAATGGGGTGTTGTCCTGATAATATCTCAGCTCACTGCCAATTTGTGCAACCCGCTGGGCCATTAGGGAGCGCCGCTGGGTTGTCAGTGTTAAATGGAGACTCAGGAGGGGGACCAAAGCTTTTTGGGGGGTGGGGAGGGTTGGTGTCAACCCAGGGACAATGTGGGCAGTTGTTCCGTTCCTGAATACACACTGCTCCCTCCTGCAGTCCCCAAGCACATGTTTCTGCTAAGAGAAGAGTAAATACACAAACTTTCACCTAATTGAAGTTTATTTTTCCTGCTCAGTTCCAGAAAGATAATATTGGGAGAAGGTACATACACAGGTGTCACCAAGCCCAAGTGCCTACTTCGGAGAACAGAAGACATGAAAAACCCATGTGATACTTGTCTGACAAAGTTTAGGCCCTGGGCCAGCAAAGTGTGATCATGGGACAAAATGTTAGTGTCAGCTAAAATTTTTGTAAATTTCACCCTTCCTGTTCAGGTACCTCCTGAATCACCAAACTGGGGAGGGGGTGGTCTGGTGGGGGACACTTTCCCTTTAGTTCTTCTGGCTGGTTCAGTAATTCAAATGACAGACAGCAGATTAACCGGAGAAAATCAAACTGTAATATGTGTGCTTGGGGAATTCACATAAGCACGAAAAACCCAGAGACAGTGAGGCAAAATGAGGTATATATGTCATTTTGGAGAAAGGAGGGGAGGTAGGCCAACTCTGGTAGACTTGCAGGGCCACCCAGAGACAATGGGACAGATTTCGCGTTTGGATCCTGCCAGTCAGGCTGCCACACTGAATTCATCTGTGGGAACGTGAATATGCCAAGGTTCCCTTCCTGAAGCATTTTCCATCTGAATCTCTTTAGGCAGGTAAGGGGAGGTAAAAACACTCTTCCAGAGTTTGTTGCGTTTTAATTGTTTTCAGCTCAAAACAATCTGCGCATTCCCGGGACAGGGCAAATCTCAAAACCTCTCTCCAACGTTCTCAACTCCTACAGAGGTCCCTTCCTTCGCCGAGGCTGGGGGCCAAACTCTCATTAACCCGAAGCAATCAGTCCGAGTGGTGGGGGCGGGGGGAGGTGGCTTAAAGAAACCGAAAGAAATGAAGGGGGGGGGGGTGCAGTGTGAGGAAGTTAACCATCCAGAACCTTTTAGGAAAATGGGGACATTTTCTCTCAGAGCAGTGAAGGACCCGCCTGGATCCAGTTACTCAAATGCCTTCCGAATACAAACAAGAGCAAAGAAAACACGAAGGGATCCGACACGAGGCTTAACCCAGGAAGCCTCGAGTCTGCCTACCTGTGAGAGGTCAGGCCCGACACCCTCCCACAGGTGCACGCGGGTGGGTCCTGGCTGCCAGGAGACACTCGTGCAGGCTGGCTGCTGGGCTGGGTGCCTCAGCAGGGGCATCAGTGGGGTTAGGAGGGGGTAGGTAGGGAGCGGGGCACCGGCACCCCCGAGCAGGGAATGGGGACGAGAGGAGAGCAATGGAAAGGGCTGGGACGGGAGCGGACGGGGGTGCACGCGGGTGGCAGGTCTGGGGCCGAGAGGAGCGGCAGTTGCGGAGGCGGGGAGGACCACAGTGGGCACGGGGCTGGCGGCGGCCGGAGCGGCCGCGGGAAGGAGGGAGCGAGGGGCGCTCCGAGGCAGCGGGGACAAAGAGGACCGGAGAGGGAAGGGGGGCGAGGTGGGAAGAACAGGGGCCCGGAGAGGGGGAGGCCGAGGCGCGGGCGATGGGGAAGGCGCGGGCTGCGCGCGGCGCGGGGTGAGCGGAGAGGGGCCGCGGGGCAGGGGCCGCGCGGGGCGGGGCGGGCGCGCCCGGAGGCGGTCCGGGCGAGGAGCGCACCGGCGGGGCGGGCGGCGCGCCAGCTGCCCGCGGTGGGAGGGGCGGAGCGGCGGCGGCGCGGGGAGGGGACCGGCGGCGAAGGCAGGAGGGGGAGAAGGAGGGGAGGGGCCGGGCCCCTTGTCTCCGCGGCTCCTCTCCTCAGTCCGCCCGGGGAGGAGGAGGAGGAGCGGGGCCAGCCGCCGCCGCCGTCCCAGCCTCGCCCGGCGCACCTGAGCTCTCCGCGCCGCCCCGGGCCCCTGCGCCGCGCCCCGCGTCCCCGCGCCGCGCCCCGCGCCCTCGGCGCCCGGCCCGCGCGCAGCGCTGCCTCGGTGTCCCGGCGGGGCGCGTCCCCCGGGCCGCCTCCCGCTCTCCCGCGGCTCGCGTGGCCGCGCCTTTGTGTGCGGCGGCCGCGGCTCCCGGGCTCCTCGGGCTCCGATTGCGGCGCCCCTCCGCCCGAAGTCCCGCACGCCGCCCCCGACAACCCCGACCGGGCGCCCTCGACGGTGGATCTAGCGGCTTAGAGGAGGCGGGCACCCGCCCCCCGAGCCCCAGCTTCGGCCCCCGGCCCGGGCCCGGCTCCGGCATGGATATGAGGTTCTACCCCGCGGCGGCCGGGGACCCCGCCGGCCTGGACTTCGCGCAGTGCCTGGGGTACTACGGCTACAGCAAGGTGACTGGGCCGGGCCGGGGGCGGCGGGGCGGGGGCACCTCCCCATCCCGGGCGCGCCCCGCGCTCCAGTCTACCGCCGGCTTTACTTTCTTTCCCCTTTCTTTCCCCTTCCACTCTTCCCCTTGCGCCCTCGTCTCTGTCCAACTCTCCCTCTTCTCTTCCTGCCCCCTCCCCCCGCCTCTCCCCCTTTTTGTCCCTCTGCCGGCACTCCCCTCTCTGCCCGTCTGCTCTCCGCCTCTCCTTCCCTGCCTCTCCCCACCTCCAACCCGCCAGTCTCCTCGCCGCCCCAAAGAAGCGAAGAGCAGCCGGAGACCGAAAGCGGGGACTTGCGTGTGATTCTTTGTTGTTGTTATTAGTAAACACCACAGGACCCTGGGGGGGGGGTACGTAGGGGTCCCTGATCTCGTGGTCGGATGACCTCGCGCTCCCACTTTCAGTCCATCTTACCTACCCCTGTGCACCGAGAGCTGGACCCCCGGCCGCTTCGGGAAGGAAAGGAACAAACTTTTGAGCGTGCCCTGTATGGGGGAGGGGGAAGCGGTGGGACCCCCGCAGGTGGCTTTTGCCACCCTCTGGTAGGGCGCTTGGAGCGACCACTCCTCTCTGTTAGCACTAGTAGTGGCTTCTCATCTTTAATGTTTTTTGGGGAAGGGTAAGTTTTACCATTTGGGGAGATCAGGGTTGGGGACCTGCACACCACGCCCTGGGTCACCCCACCTCCTCCCCCTGCGCAACTTCCAGGACCTAGGGTTTCTGGTGGCCGAAGGTGCATCTCAGAAGGGTGGCCCGAGCAGCTCCGAGTGGCGAGTCGGTGCGGGAGCGCAGCCCTCCGGCCAGGGCGGAGCGGACTCGCCGTCTCTATCCTTCTGGAAGCCAGCAGGGCCCAGCTTTGGAGGAAACATCACCCTGAGGGCAATATTCAGAGAAAGAGCTGTGCCCCGATGGCTTGTGCCTTTTCAGTGTGGTTTTTCTTTCTCCTTCCCCCTGCTCCTCCCCCTTCCCCCCTTTTTCTTTCAAATCGTAGTTTGTTTATGATTGCTTGGATAACAGAGGAGGAAATAAGGAGCCTGCCCAAAGAAAGGTGCTATACAAAACGAACGAATAAATAGCAGGAAGAGGAGGGATTGTATGCAGAGCGAGGAGCAGCTTGCTGTGCCCCGTGGCTGGTAGAGCCTCGTGTTCCTGTCTATTTGTTTATACTCGGCGCCCAACTCCAGTGCTGAAGTTTGTGAAAGACTTCAGGGTCTTTCTTCCTCACCCTGTGTCATCATCGCCTTGTGCCTGGCACAGAGGGGCCTCCCCACAAGTATAGAAGGAAGGAGCATTATTCAAGTGTGTTTTAACCCTTCCGTGGGGGTGGGCATGCGTGCTCTTAAAATTCCAAGAGTGATAGTTAAGCATAGAAAGAGAAGCAAGAAAAGGCCCTGTAGCCAGAGTTAGTTTAGGGTTTCGTGTCTGTCCTCTGATTTTGGATTTACTCAGGTTATTAAATGCTTTAAAAAGTCCCCAATGTATGCTCAGTTAGGGACTCAGGCAGCCTAATTAAGTATGTAGTGTTTCTGAGACTCCAATGAATTGTTCCAGTGGGGTATTACTTATCTCTTTCCAACCCAGCCTGTGTATGCAAGCCTTGTGTGACTGGGCAGGCTCTTATTTTTGGAAGCCATTACCTTGCCTAATGTAACTACTTTCTCTGATTTAAGATCAGCAACACTCGAATGACACCAAAATAGAAACCTTTTGTATTAATCCAGTCACTGCAGTGCGTGGCAAATCTCTCTGTTCCCTAGGATCCCAAGGGTACTTCAAGGGACCAGAGGAAATTGTGGTGTTTTGTGTGTGCCCCTTTTTATTTTTTGAGGAAGGCTGTTTTGAGTCCATTTAAACTCAGAACATTTATTTTAGGGAGGGTAAATAGGAAGCTTGAAAACAGACGTTATTTATTGACATGCATGTTGCACTTCAGGAGTGAGAATGCAAGTTGGTTTGCGATCATATTTTCTGAATGCAGCTCTTTGCCTGAAATAACTTGGTTTGTTAGTAATTCAGCAGTCTGGTCGACCTAAGTGCTGTGTGTACCCAACTTATGAAAGTTAGACACAGTGTTCAATATTGGTAGTAATCTAATTGTACTTATTTTAAGGGACGTTTGCACTTACGCCTTGCAAATTAAAACAACAACAACAAAAAAAAAAACAACAACAACCTTTAAACTGAGCCACAAAACTGTATTTTCCTACTTCTCAATTCAGGAGTGAAAACCCCAATTTTATTCCCCGTAATTTTTCTTTATAGGGAGAATGGAGTAGAAGAGGAAGTATTAACTTTATGGGTATAAAACAGCAAGTGCTAATTAAAGGTTTATAGCATTTGCTTCACAGCTAACTTGTGTGTCTGAAGTGGTGCTAGTCAGTGCCTATAGTTTATATAGAAAGTGCAAAAACTAGCCAACAAAGACATGCATTAATTTTATTTGAAAATACCTGTAATTGTTCATCTCTTTGAGACTTCACTTGATGACATGTATTATCTTTCTGGATGGGAAATGATGGATTTGAGAGACAGTAGGTTTCCACCCTTTCTTGTTTTAATGACCATCTGGGAAACTTTAGAAGTAATACAGACCCCTCCGCTCCAGGCTTAACAAGTGAAAAGTTAGCGCTTATCTTTAAATTTATTTACAAACCGTGAATAATAGGGTTTCATTCATCTCTCTCTTTAACAAATGACCAGACTCCTTTGTATAAATTATTTGCGTGTATATTATCTTTACATTCTGTGAGTATATGGATCCTTTGTAAATGTCAGCACTCATGAAAGTGTACTCTGTCTATGGAGAATGGATGAAAGAGTTTTGAGGGTTCAAAAGTCCTTGCAAGTAGCAGAATAACTTCAAATAAAATATAGCCAGGATCATTAAAATTAGTTAATAATTCATGAACCAGCCACTGATGTATAAACTTAAAGTCATCTCTGTTTTCTAAGGACTAATTTCCATTTTATTTTCAAGTGGAAAAATCTGTTTGAACAGTTCTTTTTCTGATGTGGCCAACAAATTAAACTAGCACACACACACGCACATACACACACACACTTTTTTTTTTTTTTTTAAACAAGAAGGCCTTATGTTACTCAAGTGAATTGGTGACCCATTATCCATAAATCTAGAATTTTTCTTTCCCTGGGTTCAGTTTGTCTTTTTACCAGTAAGAAGGTCATGTGCAGCATATCAATTGGCATTCAATTGTCAGAAGTCTGCCACCCCAAAAGAAACTATTGTTTAAGTGGGTGTAAGGTGAAATTACACAGTGGGTTAATAATGGACATGGACTGAACGCTAGTTACTGGCTTTTTCTACATATTCTTGGGATTTCCCTCTCTCCTCCCCTCCCCTTTCAAAATGTGGCTGTTGACTTCTTACCCTGTGTAGAATAGGCCTGTGTTGTTTTTACCCATCAGTCCCAACCCATGCTAATTATTGTGTGTGGTATTGATCACTCTGCTTAATTAAGACATTCTGATGTGCGTGCTTCCACTCTCTCCCACCGAGCCTCTCTGTCTTGGTCAGCTTGAGGCGTAAGAGGACCTGAAGGGTAATTTGTCATTTGTCTATCTTCTTGGAGACTGGTTCAAATTGAGACCATATTAGAAGGGGCTTTGATCGAAACTCTTCTTAGGTTGATACTTTGTGAACTTGACACATGAGAACTAATGATTTCATTTCTAGGGTATGAAGTATGGGGTGCTGAATTTTGAGAGCAGATGAGAGATTTCAATATTTTCCCATGTCAGGTCTTCAGAGAAGATATTGGAGCCACATTGTGAGAGAGAAATAAGATTTTTCTGAGGGCCTTAGACCAGAGGTCATAACTCAAATGTCTATAGGGAGAGCCAGTTACCCCAAGAAGAAAGGCTTGTGGTCTAGGGATAACATGGCCGTTCACAGGGGTGGCCTTGTCCAGATTAGCAGGTTGTTGCCATGCCAACATTTGGGCCCAGTCTTTCCATATTTTGTAATGATTTTTTCAAGAGAATGATAACCTGGATTTTTATGCAAAATATTCTGAATTTTAAGTGTTGGCAGGAAATGAACAAATAATTAAAACCATCATGTGGGCCCCTCAAAATGTGCTTGTGTACGCTGCTTTGCCACTTTGTCTTGGGCAAACTGATGCAGAGAAGGATTCAGATCATTTTTTTAGTAAGTCATTTATGGTTTATGCCCAACTCTAGGACAGTTCCTCTCCCATGTCCAGCTATGTGGACGGTTTAGTTAGTGTGTGGAGGAAGTCAAACCTAACCACTTCCGATGGAGTTCTGATCTGATCATTTGGATTCTATCGCTGGTTAATTGCACGGTCTCAAGTCAATGGACTTGTTCTAGAGCAGGATTTGGCCTACAGCAGCCCATGGGTCACAACTGGCCTGCTGTTCTTCTTGTGTGGTCTGTGAGTCAAGGATGGTTTTTACATTTTTAAATGGTTAAAGTAAGTTCAAAGAAGAATAGCATTTTATGACTGCGAAGATTACACGAAACACACATTTGTGTCCGTCAATAAAGTTTTATTGGAACACGGCCCTGTTCGTGTGTTTCTGTGGTTGAGTTCATGATGCAGGGACAGAGTTGAGTAGTTGTGACAGAGTCTTGCAAAACCTAAAACATCTGTTGTTCGCCCTTTCTAGGAAAAGTGTGCTGATGCCTGTCTTAGATGGTCCGAGCGCTCGCTGGGCCTGCTTTGTTCCAGGCCTCGGCAGCAGAAAGAAAATACAGTTAACAAGATGGAATAACTGGAAAGATGACTGTCAGGGAGTGTTTCTCAAAGATGCTTCTAGAACAGTGGGGTTCCCAGCCCTGGCTGAGTGGGCAAAAGCTTTTTAAAAATAGTCATGCTCGGCCTGTCCCCAAACCACTTCAGTAAGACTCTAGGGGTGGGACCCAGGCAGCAGCGTTTGTAAAAGCTGCCCAGGTGATTCCAGTGGACAGCCACGCTTGGGAACCT